TCATAAAGATATAAATAGGTCTTATACCTCTTCATAAACATGTAGGAAAAACACAGGCTGAATGAAGTTAGAGGTAGACGAGAAGTGGATGGAAAAAAAACCCACAAACTTTAAAGCACAACGAGAAAGGATCCATCCTGGATTTACTGGAATGCAGTGCTTTTATTAATAGCCTTGAAGATGGAACAGAATGCACATATTAAATCTGCACATTACAATGCCAAAATCTACAAATACACTGACAGGCAGGATTAAATTCATTTTAAAACAACATAATTTGATGCACAAGTTTCCACATTGGGGTAGGAATAATTAACTGCACATTGCAAAACAAAAAAAAAATCATGATATTAAGGATTATAAACAGGCGCATACACCGAGGCACAGACAAACCTGCCAATTGACCTGGAATTGATTAGCACCTCAGTTACCGTGCCCTGTTTTGGTCATCACACTTCTCAGCAGTGAAGAATGACCAAAGGAAGAGAAACAATGACGATCGGTAATCTAGAGGTTAAGACTATGAGAAATGGTTTAAGAAGCTGAGATCTAGCCTTGAGAATACTGAAGAGAAACACGAACAGACAAGTATGTAAAAGCCTCGTCCAAAAACATAAAAGAAATAAACAATATATGATGAACTGCTGCAAGACTGAGAATAAACACTTGAAAAATTTTGACAGATGAGATGCTCTAAGCAGTGGAATAGGCTGCCTTGAGAGGTTCTGGCATTTCTGTCACCTCAGTTACAGGTTAGACATGTCTGACACCGATTTTTCATTAAAATTATCCTATTGTAAGAACAGACTGGATGAGATCCTTTCCATTATTATTCTTCTCTCATAGTATCTGAGTACTTCAAGAACATTAATGTATTAATTTTTAAGATACCTTAAAAGACAAGCCTCCACTTCACAGGCAGAATCCAAGAAAGAAAATAATATCTGAGTATCTGCTAATTTGAATGTTCATCTTGTGTTTTGTTAATACTTCACGTTTATATAGTGAGCTGTACTTCAAAAATACAGAGCACTGAGACCAACTGACCCCAAAAGGTGAGAGCACAAGTTCAGATTCTTACCAGGAAATAGAAATCACTTTGGAAAAGTCTGATTTAACCTACTTATTGATGGTAACAAGGGAGGATGGGGAATTTGGGTTCCATTTCAATCTCTCAAAAGGAATGTGATCTGTAACACCAAACATTTCTACACCTGTTATTAAACAGTAACCAATGACATGTACATACGGAATCTGCTTTTTCAGCAGCCTCTACAACAACTAATGTGCCACGGACGTCATAAAAATCACTTCCCTGCTGAAATTCAAGATCGTGTTTCAATGCAGAGACACTAGTGTGTTCTTTAAAAAGAAAAACAAGAGTTCAGTACTAGCATTTTCTTTTCAGTTCTGAGAAAACGCTTTTCAGTTTTGTTGAAATGTACAGCTCCAGGCACCAAATATCAAAAACTCTAGTCCAAATGGCTAAACATCTGTTGAAACCAGAAAAAAAAAAAAGAGACAACAGTGTTATAATAAGTATTCAGCAATCTTAATGTTAGACAATGGCACAAGCCATTGAATGAGCTGAATTTAAAGTCCCAGCAGAAAAAACAGCATTTAATATGGATGTGGAGAAAGGGCTTATCTGCAGGAACAGTTTAGAAAAATATAATATTTATCAAATAAAAGGAGGAGCTTTAGCTTGAGCAAAAGGATGCTTTGAACTGCAATAAAGAGTAACCAAAACCCGTCTCCAGTTCACCACAAAGTTGCACAGCTTTACTAGGAGCTGGAAGTCACAGAGATCCAGACAGGGCTTGAAAAGGAGGACGATTCCCTAGAAACACGGCTTTTGTAGGGCTGTCCTTCAGAAAGAAAGTGACTGCTATCTTACCTCCATCAGTGCCCTGCAAGTATAAAGTTCCTTCCTTAGAAGAATCATTTGTACAAGTGAGGCCTCATGGACGGCACTAAAAAGGAGTGCTCCTTTTGTTTCAGGACACCTTGCTCAATCCTCATCCAGATAAGGATTTATTTCCATTTGGCAGTCACCAGATTATTAAGAGTCAAGCATTAGGTGAAAGATAACAGCATCGCCAACGTTCCTAATGCTAAAGAATCTCCAGTAAATGACTGTGAAACTGTAGCCTTAAAAGCAATCAGCTTAAATTGACGAAGGTCCCATTGTGGTTCAAAAGTGACCTTACCCCTACTGCCCACTGCCTTCCTCCTGCTGACCCTGGCATTCACGTAGCTATGTCACATCAAGCCAACCAGGGAACTGATCTAGCTGCATTCTAACCCTATACATTTTTTTTATTAGTAGTATTTTTTGCTTCCAATTGCATTAGCTCTCTACAGAGCCATACAAGCCCAAAGCTACCACAGTGGTAGATAAAGGGTACGGGAAAAGCGTGGGTAGGGAAAAGTAAATTGCCCCTTTCCAGGGCAGCAGGGAGCTATGGCAAGGTTTAATGACCAGCTGAAGTTGATCTAAGTTTTCTTTTCTTGGATAAACCAAAGACTGTAGCATCAGAGTAGTATTTACACCCTTGGATAATACAGTTAACTTACATTGATTTATATGCTCCAAACCCAGAACATTCCTTGGAAGTTAGATAAACCACACACAAATTGCAAGCAATTTTTGAAGGGTCTATACAGCCTCTATGTAGTTACGGGACAGAAATATTTATTGCATTTGGCATGGAAGTTGCAGTCTGTGAGCACTGGGCAAAAAACAGAAATGGGTGAGCACTAGAGTACCAGATAGCAAGCAAATTCTTTCTTTTCCTTTCCCAATAAATTATATACAAAGGTGAACAGCTGTCACACTGACATTTCAGATCTGAAATATAGTTAAGAGCAAGTTATAACTAAGGCAAAGAAAATGAATGTCAGAAAGTTTTGTTTTTTCAAATTTCAGATAAGCTCTTTAGCCCTAGGGTTAATCAGAGAGCTAGAGATCTCTGTTTGGAGTCTAACTTCTTACCAGAAAAATGTTTCTTTGTGTAGTATGTGTGTAAACACGCACAAGTAAGGCTATATGTATTTATATAAATAATATGGCACACCTTTAATTCATTGCCCAGGGTAATCAAAATACTAGTGGTCCTTCAGAGAATCTTTTTCTTCCTGTATTAAGCAACACCAATTAACAAGAGGAACCATCTGAGCAGCATACCCTGCAAAGCAGCTCCACATCCTCACCCTGCAGTCAGCAAGGTTTCCGACCTTCTCCAGAGGTACCTGTTGGAGATGTAGGTCCTCCACAGCAAAGTTGGCTGCTGCACATCTTTACCAAAGAGCGCCCAGCTGTCAGGTTAATTCAGCTAATGATAATACCAAGGGAATGTAATCATAGTCTGACACATGACTGCTTAACATGCTGCCAGATTGCACGCAGCCAGGGAAGGTGAATAGGTGAAGCTATAGCAAAATGAAAACAAGCTCTAATTATCTCTAGTCTACTAACATATTTCTCATCACAGTCCAGTGACACTGATGAGAATTCCCAAAGTCGAAATCTTTTACCTTCACATATGGTCACAGCTAAGGACTCTGCACTGCAGCCATGAATATGTATGATAGTTGCTTCAAAAGGTAAAAATATTTCAAGTAAGGGATGCCGGTCCATCCAAAGGCCAACTGTCAGCAACATTTCTGAACTGGACACAACAGAATGTCTAGGTAAAAGCTTTTCTTTCCATAGCCAACACCATTTCTCTCATTTCCTCTCTCTGCAGAGCAGCTAAATATTTAACAAAGTTAAGCATTTGATATTCTCAAGCAGAGGCAGAGAAGTTATGACTTGCTCACAGCCGCAAAAAACAAGAGAACCAAGATCAGCCCCCAGAAGGCCTTGGCTACCAGATCGATAAGAAGTAAAAAGGGAGGAGAGACAGAATCATGCAGTAATTGGATTTAGCCTACAGGGTTTCTTCAGTGTTTCTCCGTAAGTGTTCAAATCACTAAGAAACAACCTAACGCACCTCACAGGGAAGTTTACTTTAACATCAATTCCACAAGCACTGGAAACAGACACACGTTACACAGCCACACACAAACAGGACATATCTTCTGATGAAAACCTGTTTTGTAATCAAAATCTTGATTGCTTCATTTGTGGGGAGAAGGAAGGTGGATCGAGAAATATAAACATACACAGAAATTACACAGCTATGGATTCCAAGTTTAAATATGAACCCACAGAGATTATATTCAGAGAACGAGGACCAGCTATAACATCCCCAGCCACTTTATGTGACAAAATAAGATATCTGCAGCTGCATATTGCTTACTAAAAATTAAAACCAGTACCATTTACCTGCCTGCCAGCACATGTTTACAAAGTAATGGGACTGCCTTTCCTTCCCCCGACCCCCCAAAAAAAAGTTATATTTAGAATCTGTGCTTTTATTTCACAAGCTCCAAGACGTGCCACGGCCTGTGCATCCTCTCCAGCATTTCAAATCTGACCAAGCACAGATCACACAAGATACTCTATTTATTGGGCTAACACTATGAGAAGGACATAGGTTTATAGTGCAACTGCCAGGACAGCAGATATTTAATATATGAGGCCGGATCATTAAGACAGAATTTCCTTTGACCTATATAGACAGCCCATTGCCAGTAAGTCAGGAATAGGAGCATTCAGTCTCATTGCTATGAATAAATGAAGCATTCAAAAGAATAGGGAGCATTTGTGCTCCAACAGAAAGTATTCAGTTAAATCCTGTATCTCATTTGTTTGGACATTTCACGTACAGTATTGAGTATTCACATTGTTTTCTTTGTCCCTCCTCTCTAGCCAAGTAACAGGAGTATGAAAGACATTCAGGAGCAACAGGAGAAGAGAAGGCTTTGTTAGTCTGTTAGATCCCTAAGAACTGCCATGTTACAGCATCGTAAGGTTTAGTTGATATCCAGTCTTCACAAACCAGAAACAGACCTGCACCCTGTACCCCAGCTATACTTCTCTGGATCATACTCACCCATTTGCTCCACAATTTCAGGTGGGAAAACTCGAGAAGCAAAAGCTCGTCGGAAAATATCTGAGAATTCTTTGTCAAGGCCCCCAATGCCCATTTTCTCAAAATTCCAGTCTGGGTTGATGATCGATTGGCGGTTCTCCTTGGTCTTTGATTTACCTGCAAAAAAAAGAAATCATTTCAAACATGTAGCACAGCAGAATTACACCAGATAGACATACAAACACCAGAACGGTTCTACCAGGTCAGACCCGTGTCCAGCTAACTCGATGTTCGGTTTCAAACGATAGCCAGGAGGACACACTGTGACAAGGATGCAAAGGCAGTCAGAGACTCAGCTTACTTAGTAAACTATGTTCACAGCCTTCTAACTGTCCTGTTCAGGGATTTCTCGAGCCAGGTGTTGTTCCTATCTATTTAAGAATCCACAGTAGATTTCTCTGCCACAAATTTACCTAGGTCCCTTTGGACCCATGTAAACCTAGTACCCAGATTGCCCTACAGCATCTAGCTCACCACATCTGCTACTGGCTGCACAACCAAACACCTCCTTTCATGTGTCTGAGCCAGCTTCTACCAGCTTCATTTCATGTTCCCCAAGTCTTATATCTGAAGAGACAGCAAATAGTATCAGTATCCACTCTCTTTCAGGCTACCTGGGATGATATTAGGCTTGTCCTGTATCCTCCTCAGTCATGCCTTTTCCAGGCAGAGCAGTTCTCACTTGTTCTTCCTTCCTTACGCAGCAGCTGCTCCACACTTGAGCACCCTTGTTCTCCTCTCAGTCTTCTACCACATCCTTTGACAGACAGGCAGACTAAAACTGCATGCACTGGAGTTTGTTTGTATCTTAAATACAGGTACAAAATTATGCTCCGCTTCATTCATATTCCTTTATTAATAATGTGCAATAATTCTCAACAACCATGCTTAACAATTCTTAACAGGGCTCAGGCTGTTACTGAGCATGGGTCCAGCATTTCCTTGAAACTGCCATACCTGGGATCTTGGCCCAAAACAGCAATCATTTTTAACCGAAGTTAGAAGCGTTCTTCCTCCCACGCACCACTTTACATTTATTTATATAGAATCTCCTCTGCCATTTTATTTCTTAGTCACTAAGCTCCGTAAGAGCAAGCTTTGTCACCTCATTACTCAGTCTTTTTTCCAGTTTATTCAATAATTATAATGAAAAGAAAAGGCCCCAGCAGAGATTCATGCTGAACTCTACTGGCACTGGCTATTTACTTCTACCCTTTCATCTACTCATGCAAGGACCTTCTCTCCTACAGATCTCTGTTTAGCTTCTTTTCAAAGAAACTTTGATAAGGAACTTTGCTGGAAGAGCTCTGAACAACAATCTTTTTGATTCCTGTAATGAACTCCAGTGGATCACGAAGTAGGACTGCCCTTACAGAAGACCAGCTGACCCTTCCCAGTGTATCATCTCTATACAGGTATCCACTAGTTTGATTCTTTATTACAGTTTCTGTTGATTTTTTTCTGTACAGATTTCAGGTTCATAGATCTGTAGCTCTCCAGACCTCCTCTGGAATCCTGTTAAAAACAGACAGCACATTCACCATCTTCCAGTCCTCAGATACCAGAGCAATTTTAAGCAAGGTTACACAAAACAATTACGAGGCCAGCTAGTTCCTTTACAACTCAGAAGAATAAAAGCCAGTCTTGGCAAACCACCACGGTTCATTTTGTCTGTTTGTTCCATAACCTCTTCTAGAGCTACTTCAAATTCAGCCAGATCCCTTAAGCACAGGTTTTGTAGTCTCCATGCAACGGTGTGACTGCCCTCCTTTCCCTTTTGTTGACAAACCACACGAGTTTTAGTCTTACAGAGCTCCTTACTCCCTTTTCAGAGAAGCTTTAAAGTACTCAGGGCATTTAGGAGGTAGACAATAAGCACAAATGCTCCTATAAGAATACTGCTGAGATGCCGTCAAATCCATGTAGTCTCACCTTAAGTTTATTTCAGGGTATTTATAAAGATGCGCTGACACTTTTATCGGTTAGATCAATGCTTCCAAATGGCTTTCAGCAACATAGCTTTGCTTAGTTACCAGAGAAACCAACAGTAATATAAAAACCCAGGGAGAAAGCAAAGACTGAAGATTATCCTTAATTCATGCAGAAATTGGATGTCTTATATTTTCTTAGATTTACACGGTGCTTTACAGGATTGGCCCTGGGGACCATTATCTCCCCTAAAAAGCCAGTCCTGGCAAACTGCAACTGTGCATTTTGCTGATTTGTTCCATAACCTCTTCTAGAGATACTTCAAGTTGAGCCAGATGAGTTAGCATCTAGAAGTCCAGTATATACGCTAAATAAAAGTTCTGTGTTAGCTGAATTAGACTGCTATTAATCTTGGTCTAAACACAGCTGGAATCAATACTTCAATTCCAAGAGCAGCAAAATAAACAAACAAGAACATGCCTCTAAGACATCAGGGACAACATGGTACAATGTATAACATATAGCATTAATACATAGTACCATGCAGGGCAGCAGTGAGCATTTGATTCACTGATTACTGTGTATTTATTATCTCTCTGCTCCACTACAGTTTTTAGATCAGACCTCTCCCTGTAGAGCTTAGCCTATACCACCCCCTTCTGGCTGCATCCGATCACAATAAAATTCTTGCAGATTGAATTAAAACATCATCTGTTGGTTTTATAACACATGATTTTATGTTAAGTAGAAGAAATAGAATTGGCTTTTTTTTTTTCCTAATGATCACAATTCTTTTCTATTAAAAAAATAAAGGCCCTTTATTGAAGGCAGTGCTCAGTGACACTTACTTTACTTTTATCTCCTCTCTCAGAATTTAATTATTCACAACTTTACAATTCTCCAGAGACTAACAAAGCACATTAAGTAGCTCTGCCTCAGATCAACGAGGAGATTAAATAAAGCACCAATCTGACAGAAGTAAATTGAGGCATAAGCAACTCTTTTGTCTTGTCTGCAGGCAATGAAATTGAATCACGGTGAAGGATTCCTACTTCCAATCAGTCAGCTCTCCCAAAGGACCACTCTTCGCACCTCTACATGCTAGGAGGAAGATTACAGGTCATTATATGGCTTTGAATATTAACCAAGTAAAATATTACTGCTTGCTCTGATGCAATAAATTGGATTATGTTAATACTCACCTCAAGCTGTCCTATCAAAACACAGTAAAAACTAAACGGGCTGTAATCATGTAATCACAGGTATGAACTAATAGCCCATGCAAATTTCATTTGGTGCTCTTAAAACCTGTGTCCTTGCTAATATGCTTAATTATAGTCACCTACAATTCAGCCTACAGACCCCTGGTGGTTTTTTTTTTTTCAGTACAGATGACTGGTTGTGCTTTCAGATAAAAACATCCACGTAAGGTGCAAGGTATGTGGTTACACAACACCTCATGTCTCCCCATTTTTGGGAGCCACCGTAACATGTGAAGCAGACAACTACAGAAGATGAAGTCACAGCCTCGCATGTGAGGGAAGATGGCATTTCAGAGCAGCATCAAAACTCAGCCTCTGCCACAAGCTCCTGTAATGCTGAATGAGTTGGATTCTACTTTCCTAAGTGGCTACTACCCTCACATGTTTTATTTCTGTAACAAATACTCAAAGTTATGAGCATTCACAGTCAAGCAGAGCTGTGCTTTGAAGCCTACTGCAAAAATAATAAGTATTAAAACTCAACTGAGTACTCGACTGAGTGCTCATTTGAGCTGGCCAGGTTCACTGAACCCCCACTCACAGCAGCCTTCACCTGCCACTTCTTATCTGCAGCAGCAACAGGAGAAGTTCTCTTAGCTCACAGACTCCAAGAAGAGAGAACAAAATAGGAAGGGAAAATGAGAAAAAAGAAAAATAAGAGTGTCTGTTCAAGTACAGGACTTGAACCACACCCAGAAAGAATACCTAGAGCCATATTACCAGCAAGGGAGGTATTTGCAACTGTAGGCTTGCTAAGTCTCATCCACTTCGTAACACTGATAAGAAAAGGAACGGCCAGACTAACAGAATGTGTATCTGTTCTGCAGGACAGCCACCATGGTCCTAGGGCACAGAGCCAACTGCAGGGAAGGTGCCCTCACTGCCCACTTCATCGTCCAGGTCCCCGTCATTCAAGCTGGTGGCTCTATGGGAACACACCAGATTCCTCCCTAGCCCTACACCAGTTTTTTTCTAAAGGAATGTGTGGAGGACACATCAATTATTCCCCAATTTCTTTGCTAGTGAAGTCTGAAATTGTACATAAAGATCTGTTTTGCTGAGGTTTTAGAAACTGTCTCTTTAATAAAAAGTTCATAGTTTTGTTAATAATCTTGCTATGTAAACAGTTAAAACAAACACACACAAGGAACCTGCTGTGCTGTGTTTTGCAGCTGTCATCAGTTTCTGAAGAGCAAGACTTTCAGAAGTCAAGAAAATTCAAGTGCTTTTCAGAAGCTGTCCTCTCTCCTTGAAGAAAAGATCTCATTAGAGATGGGATTTTCAGAAGTTTTGCACTCACTTTGAAATTTTGGCTACACATTCAAAAGAGTTCTCAACTTCCTATTTCCCTGCTGTTTTAATTAAATTCAAAGAGGTGTTGGCTTGTTAGCGCCCCTGAAAATATCATTCCCTGATGTTTGAAGAGTTAAAATATTTCAACTAATTGCTGACTTCTGCTGAAGCTACTGTTTCATGGTGCCTTTCTAATCTAGGCCTAGGAGTGCAGGTTAACTTCTCTACTCATCTAACTCAATTTGCTACTGCCAGAATCTCTCAAAGTCACACTCACTTTTTCTCCTCCTAACTTTGTGTCTGTACATTTTAGATACACCATGGTGATAAGCACGGTATAGAGACCCACAGAACTGCTCTAGTACATTGGTGAGTTATGGAGCTTCATACTGGGAGGACAGTGACTTTTACAGAGCCCCTGTTTAGAAGCAGCGAAGTCTGCTGGAGGGATGGTGTCTTCTCAGTGCAGTGGTTTTCAAGAGAGTCCCGAGCACCTACAAAAACTGCTTTCTAAAGGGCATGACGGGTTCCTAAGAGATCAACTCCAGTCATCTGCTAGTTTAAACAGATACCTGGGAGACATTTTGAGATGCAGTTTTCAATGGATTAGGTCAACTGATGTAACCAGAAAAACAAACTTTGAGGCATACAAGTCTCTGAGGCCTGAAAAGCAGCAAACTTCAAGCATTAGTTATCTCTTTGGATACAGTGGCACTTACCGATCAGATTGAGAGAGGAGTTCTCAGCTTTTTCAAAGGCAACTTGACTGTTTCCAAGAACCAAACCAACCTCAATCTGCAAAAGGGAGGGAAACAAATAATTACGTTAAGCTATTAGGCCAACTTCAGATTGCTCCTTAGGTTTTTCCAAGCACATCTCAGAAGGCAAGAAACAGCAGCAAAAGCTCCACTATAAAAGTCATTGGGAAGAATGTGAAACACCAACACCTCCTCTAAAACTAACATCATTGAATGCAGAAGCTCATCAGGTATAATAAACTGGCTTTTTAAAGTTATTTGTTTAGTTCAAAACCAACTATTTTATTTCAGCAAGATCTAGCAAGTAAAGAAGAAAATAAAATCATGTCCTTCCTACAGAAGGCAAAATCAAAACTGGACATATCTGGAAGACAAAAAGGCTCAAGAGAGGATGTTTCCATGAATTAGTACATAAAAACCAAAAGATATTCCTTGTATCTTCCCCAGCTCTGCACTTCAGTGGATGCAACTCTAAGCTCTCAACTACACAAGCACAGTTTAATAACTGAAAGCAATGCTCCTTATCTTCTCTGAGTCAAAAGACACAGCCAGATGAAACAAATGTGCAACTTCTCCAAATGCAAGTAACCTAAATTCCTCCTTATAGCAAGATCTGATCAGTACTTGAATCTCTGCATTCCCTAGGGAATGAACATGAATTCCTGTGAGCCTACCTTCTGCTTTTTGCTTGCTCCAGACTCTCCTTTGAGAATGCTGGGGTCCATAGCTTCCATGTCCTTTACCAATAGGCCGAAAAGTTTGTCATTAAAGCTGAACACAAGCTGTGGAAATAAAAAACAGAAGGGGATTTTAATTCGTTAAAAAGCTAAAAAGGATTTTGACAAGGCTACTAAGATTTGAAGAGAAAGAGGCCTGAAGACTAAGTTTACCACCCAACAAATTCCACTTAGTTTTTACTACGTGGTGTACTGAACATGTCCTTTTCATGTCCCATACTTAAGAGTAACAAATCAAAAGTAGCAGAACATGAAGTCAATTGGAAAAACTCAAGGAAAAATTCTCCTTCCAAGAACACCTTCTCTTTTCCCGCCTTTTCTCCCCAGCTAAATGTTCTATATCATATCTTGACATTTTCTTCTCACTTCAAATATTGGTGCTAGGGAAGGAGAACAATTTAGCTCAAACCTTTTTGATCTTTCACGTTTCAGTTTGACCGGGATACCTCAAAAATAGTGTTAGAGTAATGAGACACAGAATGAGTATTACAAGAAGTAGGGTCCATCCCACAGAAAAACAGGCCGTCTCTGCACAACTCCCTTCCTCCAAGATAACATTTGCAACTGACTTAAGATTCAGACCCTGCAAGTTGTAAACTACTACGAGAGACAGACCTTGACCTGTCCTGAGAATATGGCAAAGCAGAGCCTATTGCAGATGTTCACAGAGGCAGAAGCCCATCTGCTGCAGAGCTGAGAAGGCTCAATTATAGGGACATCAGTTTTCAGAAATTCCTAAGTCAAATGTTTCATACCTATTTTACTACTGGAGTCTGTAGAGTAGCAATAAATGCTACAATAAAATACACTGCACTTGAAAGGTGTTACTGAGAATTAATTAAAACTGGTGTTCATTTTGATCTTATACAGAAGGAAGACAAAAGTTACTTCTCAAAAGATTCCAGGAGCTGCCATGCTTATACCCAACCAGGCCACAACAGAGAGAGAACCCAGCTCTCTCAAACCTTGGGATTTTCCTCACAAAGAAAGATAGATTTCTTTAAATAAGGAAAATGCAGACTTTAAACCACTCTGTTCACGCTCTCAGTGAAAGTCATGATGGTTCAACTTTTCATAAAGAAACCATTCACACAATAAACAATTTCTGCCTATTAGCTATCCTTTGCAGCACAGAGCTAATCCCTAGGCATTCTTCAGTATTTTATATCACTGTAGTACCTGCATGCACATGTCACTTAAGAACATTTTAGCCTTAAAAAACAAAACCCACACCTGCTGGCCTACTGAGAAGGCTTGGCTGTTGAACTGTTGGATGAATTCAGCAGCCATCTTGTCTGTGTCGTAGGGGTTGGAATCAATGTTCTTCTTCTGCAGAAAATCTATCTCAATTGTCATTGTGCCAATACACTGCTTAGCCTTGTCGAAACTGTATAAGGAAACTGTTAAAAAAAAAAAGAGACAGCACATTTCAGAACCACAAGATCCCCCCACAATATATTAAACATACTATAAGTTTGACAACACATGTTCATCCATTCAGAATAAGTACTTAGTAAAATTAAATATATTATTTCTGATAGAGACCCTTATTTCTCTTACATCCATGTTCTACTACAAAGTCAAAAATACAGCAAATGTATCTCCACTGAAAATCCCTGCATTTCTTTAAAAACTCTAATAGTCTCCTTTAAAACAGCTCAAACGCCATACAAGCTTTGGGGGATGAGGACAATGAAAGCAAATTCACACATGCTGTAGTACCACGATAGCTATATCAACATCTAAGGGTTTGGAGGACATGTCTTCAGAAAGCCCAAAAGCAAGCATTAAGAGTAGTCTTGCCCAAAAAAGCAATGACAAGAGGTCATAACTGGTTTTCTGTAGCAACAGATTGACTAGCTCTTCTCCAGATTAGGTAGCAGAAAGTTAGATTACCTGCAAATTCAAGTGCAGTAATATAATCTATCAGGTTTCTACAGCCCAGAATGAAGCATCAGCTATCCTTCATCTCTGACACAGAGGAAGTAGCCCCTACCCCAGAGATGCACTTGGGCCTATCCTAACATGCCCCAAGTTACCTTCAGTAATGCAGAATCAATTGAACGGCCCTTGAAAGGGGGCAGAAAGCAAAGTGGCATGGAAGGTACTTCACAGTCATTGCCAATCGCACCTAATCCACACAGGTATTAAGTTACACCATGTCAAAAACAAGAGGGCACCTACGGCTGTTGCTGCTGGAGGAAAGAGAATAGAAAGGAAAGAGGAGCACGGTCCACAACTTCAGGGATACTGCCTCAGCACAATTGATCAGAAGGACAGGGTCTAACAAAGCAGACAGTCCTAATAATTAACAAACCAGACTGCAGCAAAGGACAGAAGCGGATGTTTCTCCAGAAGACTGAGGAACATTATAGGTTTGCTTTGAATCTAGAGAGGAAAGTCTCATCTGATACAGAAATCACAGCTAAGGATATAGCAGTAGGAGGTGAATAAAGGAAGTGTACTTCACGCATAACCTACTATTTCCTATCAAGCCTCTTGGCAGTAGAATGGCTCCAGAATAAACCTGCAGACTCCTGGGAAGATGTAATGTCAAAACAAGCATCCAGCATGCTATAATACACACTTTGTTCAAGTTCAGAGAATAAAGAGAGCCTGTCTCTTGCTTAAGTTGTTACCAGAAGACACATAGGTCATCACAGCGGGTACATTTAACATCCTTCCTGGTATAAGAATAGGCCACCTAGAAATGAGCTGTCAAAGAAAGATCTTCCAGGAAATAGGGATAAAAATGAAACACTAAACCACTTCCCGAATTGAGGTAGATCTACTATATCAACTAGTTCTTTCAAAAAGGGATATGGCAGCAGGGTTATCACATAAGCCATAGATAACGAAGGAGGGACTTTGGTCCTGCAAGGGCGCAACAGGAGTTCTTACCTTACAGGTCACTTCAGGGCAGTTATTTCCTTTTACTTGCCTAATCTCAGGGCTTTGTCAAACAAAAGCTTCTGGAAAGAATATCAGTCCCTGGATCTGGTCACATCACAGAACTGAGGTGTCAACCGAATACGAGTAGTCCTTACATCAAGGACTGGATGCTGGGGATGTCTGGTACAGAGGAGAACAGTAATGCATCACTGGGGATGCAGTCCAGTAAGCAATATACAACACCAGCTTCAAAAGCCTGTAAGGTCCTAGAAACAGAGAGGCAGGCTGAGAAGGTAGCAGCGACCTCCCGGTGCTGAAAATGCAGCTGAGGCAGCCAGCCCCCAGCCCCAGGTGTGCATCTCCAGCTGTAACACGGGAGCTGATGAAGCTGAACAGCACTGAAGGCAAGACAACCGCGCCCACTCAACGCACTAAACCTTTCCACAAAGGCAAACTGACAAGATTCACTCATCTGGAAAACCTTTATCATATCATCAGGGGCTCAGTGGGACTCAGCTTCACTGTACCGCTAAGCAGTGGACTGCATTTGAAACTGACATTTAAAACATAGTTTTCACATTATTAGGGGAACAAGACAAAAAGAGAGCCCTGGTAAATCACTAGTTTTATGAATACTTCTCCCTACCTGTAGAATAGCTTTACAAATCCTTTATACTCAGCAGGGAGTCATATGACATTTAGTCACTCTGCATAAAATTACTGCACTATTTTTCTTAATACATGATCCCACATACTCGGTAAGTTTATAGCAAGGTCTAGTACAAGTACAATCAAAAATCTGCTCTAACAGCTCTAACAGCTAATCATGCTAATATTAGTGTTTCTTTCCCCAAATAACTTTAGTACTAAAAAGCATTTATCTGTAAGCCAGCTGGCACATGTTACTGATCAGCAACCAAAAAATGGTGAGAAACAAATTAATTTATGGGTCTTCCCCCCTCATTATAGGTTATTCTTCAGTTTAAAAAATACAAAAACCAAAACAAAACAAAAGCAGCCAGCAAAAAGAAATGGCTTCCAAGCAAGACCTGTGAGGCATCTAGTTGTGTAGAGAGGGAAACAGACCCGCTCTAGCTTGTCACTACAAAAAGAGAGCCACAAAGACATCAGACTTCACACTCAAGTACTGATCCATGCCCATGGACTTGGTGAGACCAGAGGAGCTGCGAAAACAAACAGCCAAGAAGCGAGCTTCCCTAACAGTACCTCACATCCACAGCTGTACCACTTCTCAGTCTATGTGGTCCTCACTTTTTCACACAGGACGCAGTTATCAACTCTGCCCACAATCCTCAAATGAGAGGGGAATTCCCTGGAATCACTGTAAACACCTCAAATGGCAAAACAGTGGCCTAACGAACAGTTTGCTCCACGTCAGTGACCGTAAGCCAGCCAACCACTAGAACAGGCTTCATCACAGCAACCTTGTCAAAGAAAAGGATGAGATGGCTGCCCCCAGGAGCACACAGGTAACTCCTGATTGTCAAAAGAACAGACATGATCCTTTACCTTGAAGAACATGAAGACCCTCCTATGACAACAGCTGCTGCCAGGAGTTTGGTCAATACTCCAGAAGCTGCAGGCAGACCAAACAGCAGCACCCATAACTAACAGTGATGCCAATCGCTCATAAACCAGAGGTAACAGTGACAGCATGAATAAATGAAAGACAGAGCGTGCAAGCTGAGAGACGCAAATCAGTCTCCTCTCTGAACATTGGCAAAGGCTTGCCAGGCTCAATTAAGACTTGAAATTGGAATACAAATCTTCAATTTGTACAAACTTGAGATGGCATCCCTTTCCTTTCATTATACTGCAGAATATTCTAGTCAGTTATTGGTGAAAACATCAGTGCTACTCACAAAGCTCATCACTCCAGCTATCCAGAGCACAACTGCTGGCTTTTGGCAGCTCTTAGCACTAAAACTTCCCCATTCTCAATACTCAAACCTAGATGCCAAAAATATCCTCAGCGACAACAGCTGTTTTCTGTTAGCTGCTAAGTGTTCTCCAAAGCCACAACAACAGACTATCCAGGACATGTTAAATGTTCACATCTGCATGTGGACACTGATGTCCCATACAGAGCTATGCTCATATACTAGCAGACGTCTGAAGGTAACAGTCAAAATAGTTCTCCAGGTTTTGAAAATGTTAAGAGACAGAAAGCCTGCAGATACGAGAGCAACTCCCTTTCACTAATGAAGGCCTCACATTACCTGAAGAAGGGCTGAAGATCTGAAATTTTTCAATTCAGTTTCACTTCAGTATGGAAACACGGAATTCAGCTTTTATAAACATACACCATGATCATGCTGCTGTCTGACTTACCATCTATTTCTTGTCCGATGGAAAGTCCAGCCCATTTTCTCTGTAAAAACAAGAAAAAAACTTCAGAAAGCCTGTCCTTCAGTAGAACAAATGCCCACTCAGAGTCAGCACCCTCACTCAGAAAAGCAGGCTCCCCCACGAGATCCTTAAGAAGCAGCAAAAAAAAAAACAGAATGGGATCTTACAAAGACCCCAAAATTAACAGTAAACATGTCAAAAACCTGGAATCATTTCCATTAATAATTCTATTTTCTGACCTCAGGAGGTTGTCCTGTCCAACCTCCTTTATGTTTTTGGTCACCCCACCATCTCGGAGGCAGAAGTTATCGTACTGGATAGGGCTTTTTGTCATTCTTCTCATTTTCTACCGAAGCTCAGGTGCTGATCACACAACAGGTAGTGCAACAGGCAAGAAAGGCTGCTATACACTCCATCATCATTTTAAAAGCTTGCACGTATATACTAGTTGTAAAGGAAATAGTTGTAATGTGCTTTAAGTTATAAAATTACCTAAACCAAAACTTGTTCAGAGAACTAGTAAGAATGGAACTGTTCAAGTCCTTTAGGTACCTTCAAATTCCTCTAAAAAGATTTGTGCAGCACAGAACTGCATGAGAAGTGAGAAATGGTTCAATAATTATGTGACACAAAAATCTATAACCTTTACTATGCCAAAAGTACTGGCTTGATAATTGCAAAAATGGTACTTTTCCAATGGCCCTTGTGCTACAGATTGGCTAGTGTGTATTTACAGTCCACATCTCAGGCTATGCAGTGTTCACAGTCTCTCAAATATCTAAGCCTTAGAGAGGCATGAATCACAGAAATATATAGGTATCATTACACAAGGCTCTGGTAAGATCGCATTTGAAATGCTGTACTTTATGGTCATTTATGTTTGGCTTTTTATCTGGAAGGAACAAGTCTGGGAGAAGGAATACAATGACCTTTTTTAAAAAATGAAAACTTCCCCCTATATTCCCTCCCTCTCAAATATGTTCATGGATCAACCTGTTAGAAATCAAAGCCCAGAGCAGGAAGTCTTATGTGTACTTACTGGTATTCCCAAGAAGGTGAAAACAAATTATGTTTCCATATTTAATCTCAATGCTTCACAGCCTCCACTGTTTACCTGCAAGGCCAGGAAGAATTCTGCCCCTCCCCTTGACACTCCAATTCTTCAGCAAAAGATATCTTAAACTCACCTTCACCTGAAGTACCAGGCACTGGTGAGCACCAGTGCAAGAACGGTGTGCAGGCATGCTGGTAAACACTGGGCTTTGCTTAAACCCTCCAGGTTAAGCCTTTCACCCAATTTCAGGACAGGAAGGAAAGCTGTCCAAGTTCCGCTAGAAAGATTAGTTAGGGTCTTCTGTGTGGCAAGAGATACTGCTCAATTCCTATGTTCATCTGGGTGTTTTCTGCCAAGAATTTTGTCATCACTGCACGCCCCATCATCTTTTGGGCTCTGCAGAATACAAAATTTTTCATGGCTTTTGGTATTTAGGCCTAAGAGTTAAGATTATGACAGAATAAAGGTGGTCAAGAACTTTACGTGCGTAATGAATGCACAACAGATTTTCTTGGAAGTCTTAGAGCCTAAGTGCACATTACATGACCCTCTGAATATGTGAGGTAAACGCACATTTTGTGTAGCGCTAGCTGCAATTATTCAAGGCTTCAGGAAATACCGGAAATTAAATCCTAACACCAGGAATACTCAAATAAAACTTTCCTATACCAGCAGCTGTAACACTTGCTACCATAGTCACTTTTTGGGGGTAAGCAACATACCTCATTCCTTAGCAGAAGAGCTCTCTTGGCTCTACAAATAACTACTGGAATCTACAAAAATCAACCCCAGACCATGAATGCATCTACTTTAACCCTGCAAATATCTTCTACTGATAACTCTTTTTCAGTTTGGGCATCACAAATCATAACTAGACATATGGTTAACATAGCATCCTCTTCACCCACTTGCTGGACAAACCTGAATTTGAACAATACATCAAAAAGCAAAAAAGTTTTGGGGCCTATGCCAAGTCATCTGTTGAAGAAAAAAAATTTGTGTTTGCAGCATAGAGTCTAAATTTCTAGGCCAGTTACTAGCAGGAAAATATGATAGCATTAAATCAGTGACCATGGTTGTTCCAGTTTTACATTATGCGACTCACTGTGTAAGCCAGTTAAAGGCTACAAGATTAATTTTTCTATTTAGAAGTTAATTGTATCAATTATTTATTCTAACCATCATTTAACATGCAATAACTTGACCGAATTAAGAAACAGGAGACAAGCTAAATCTATTTCATGCATCGCATTACACTTTTTATCCAGAAATACTAACAATGACTGAATATAGTCAATGAAACTTCCTGCAGGTCTTTAAAAGAACAACACAGCAAAGAAAACCCTTTAAAGTCAAGGGAAACTAGGGAACAATAAAAATTCACATAGAATAGCAGACGTTGCTTAGGCTTTTCTTTCTGAAATAGTTTGTTTCTGGTGGTTTTTACGTCGTTTCTAGTATTTTTATCCCACCGTGCACTAAAAATAGATCAAAGTAATATAAGCAAGTTTGCTTCAGCTCTAGTAAAAGTCTCCTTGAATTTTTGCTGTCAGAAATCAAATTTGTAGCATACATTTGTGCAGACATCTCCCTCCAGTTAGAATAGTTATCTTCAATCCTGATCTCAAAAGAGATTTTGCTTATTCTATAGGAAAACACTAAGTCAAACCATATAGTACCTGGGGCAAGCTGAACGCGATGCTGCCAGGAACAACTGAGGAATGGGTTCTCAGCGTGAAAATGTATTTGTGGTTGGGAGAAGTCTTCACAATAACATGTCTAGGAGAGAGAACAGTATTTTACTTCGATATATACCCAGGAGGATTTTGCATTGCTCCCAGTGCTGTAAGAATTCAAAAGAAACAAGCCAGCTTATATCTGGTCCTATAAAGGAAAAAAACAAAAGCTTTAGACCTACACCATGATGCAGGCACACAGCAGTCTTTCACAGAAGTCCATCACCTTCATTGAGGCAACGTGATCTCAAAGCCCAACTGAAATACATAGTACTAATAATTATTACTTACATTCCCCCACCAGTAGCCCTTTATTTCAGGAATTGCACTATACAAATGTGAGAGAACCAAACTATAACCACAAAGACCAAGGCTGCTGTATCTAAAAATCAACACTGGTTTCACATCTCAAGCATCTAACACCAAAGCATCAGTATTTTACCCCAATACAAGTAGTATACCCCAGCTGTGATTTCAACAAGAAATAGATGCAAAGCCTACACAAAGATCTTAGTATATTGTTTAGAAGTTTGATCGCAGAAAAAAATGGAAGGAATTTCTGTACAAAAAGTAAAATCACACAGGCTCTGAGGCTGTCCCTCCTGTTTGCTAGTGACCAACAGATGTTGAACTCAGCACTTGAAGACCAAGAACACTGTTATAAAAAACAGAACAATACAAACAGTCAGGAGCAGACACATCAGCAGCAATTGCATGTGCCTGTCTGTCACTCTCAGAAGCTAAGCTGTCAGGAGCAAAGACATTCAAAAGCTGCTTATAGTTATCCTCAGACTATGCCTGATAGCTCTTATCATACGATAAGCAGACTTCTTTTTGGCATATGAAAGCAAAACAAAAGGAAGATGGGATTTTTGTGCACTGGTGGCACAGGCGATGACGGAATCAGGTTCCACTTCATCTTCTTCACAGCCACACATATTTTAACTACCCAAAGGGTATATGAGGTCACCAACTTATGTGACCTGTGGTGTTCCCCTCTCACCCATCATCAGAAGCTAAGGGCTAGATGAACTGTGCTAACAGCCAAGGCCCACACTCCTGGCCATCCTCCCTCCCTGGCAGTGAATGTATTACATGCACATATGCTCTGTATATTTTCATTTGCATATGCACAGTGAATCCAGCACCACCCAAAAGCAGATCTGCTGCACACGTATACATTGGCTACATCGTGTATGCATAACAGCTTCAGCCATATGGGAGGAAAGAACATATGGCCCTTTGAGACTAGAGGAAATCCATGGCCTGCATAGCCAAAAACACTAGACATCACTAGCTTTAGCCCAAACAGATAGGGAAGCTTGCAAAACCTTTCCAGGAACTGCTAGTGCTTGATGGCATAGCAGAGTAAGAAAGCATTTTAAACACATCACACAGTGATACATAGGAGGAGGTAAGTATCACTGTGTCAGGTGGACCAGTGATGTGACTCTTCACTGGTTCTGTCCCTAAATCACCCATGAGCTGCCTAAAACCCCAGCTGTAGGGACACGCACCTTCCTTTTCCATCTCCTCCTGCTCTAGGTGTAAATCCAGAAACCTGTTACAGGTGGTATGGTTCCCTATAAATCTTAGGGAGATTTAGCAAGACATGGGTGCTTCATGGTGATCAGGGAAGGTTTCTGAGGACTGGGAGAAAGCAGATGTCACTCCTATCTTCAAGAAGGGCAAGAAGGAGGATCCAAGGCACTACAGGCTGGTCAGCCTCACCTTAGTCCTTGGGAAAGTGATGGAGCAACTGATCCTGGAAGCCAAACATATTAAAGGACAAGAGAGTGACTGGGAGTAGTCAGCATGGATTTACAAAGAAAAATCAGGCCTGACCAATATGATAGCCTTCTAGGATGAAATGTTGAGCGCTGAGGATGAAGGGAGAGTGGTGGATACTGTTTATCTCAACATACACAATGCTTTCTACACTGCCTCACACAACAATCCTTACAGACAAACTGATGAAATACAGACTAGGTAAGCGGGCAGTGCAGTGGACTGAAAACTGTCTGAACCACTGGGCTCAGAGGGTAGTGATCAGCAGCATGAAGTCCACCTTCAGGCAGTTCACTAGTGGTGTACCTACTCCAGGTGTCCATACTGGGGCTAAAAATAATTAAACTCTTCATTAATGACTGGCATGACGGGAGAGAGTGCGCCCTTAGCCAGTCTGCAGATGACACACCTGCTGATTGTGCTGCCATGCAGAGGGACTTTGACAGGGTGGGCTGACACAAATCCCATCAAGTTCAATAAAGGAAAATGCAAATTCCTCCACCTGGGGAGGAATAATCCCATGTACCACTACAGGTTGGGGGCCAACTGGCTGGAAAGTGGCTTTGCAGAAAAAGACCTGGGATCCTGGTGGACAACGAGTTGAACATGAGCCAGCAACATGCCCCTGCAGCAAAGATGGCCAACAACATCTCTGGCTGCATTAGGAACAGCGTTGCCAGCAGGCCAAGGGAGATGATCCTTCCCAGACTGAATGTTGCTCCAGGGACTGTTTCATTTTAAATTGAGTAGCAGATAAAACAGAGAAGCTGTCCAGGAAGCAGGGACTGCAATGAGGAGGTTTCCAGCACAGAGTGTATCAGCCTCAGTAATTCAAATTAATATCAATATACATCCAACGGGAAAGCAAGGTATTATGTTGCAGAGTGTTAGACAAGCATGCCTGCAGGCAAAATACAAGTTCCAGCTATGATACTGGAATACCTCACCAAGAATACACTTGATGACAAATAACACCCTACTAGAAGCAGCTCATCAGACAGTAAAAGACCCAAGATTAAAGCTTCTTAAGACTGAGATGGATCCCAAGCAATGCACTAAGTTTGGCTCGAAACACAACAGTGACTTCAACATGTATAGATTCAGCATCTCTGCAGGAAGAAACAAACACCGTTGGGTTTCACTTCAAAGAAGCAAAATGCAAGCAAATGGGGATACCCGGTAAAAAAACGGCGGGGGGAGGGGGGGAGGGATACAAAGGATACAAATTAAAATTACTATATAGGAGAACACCATTCACCAAAAACATTTCCAGCAGGCCAGAAAGATAGCAGAGCCTGACAGCAGGCAAATGGATGCCAGGAAGACAAAGAGAGGAAAAAAAAAAAAAAAAAAAGAGGAAAAAAAAAAATCAGCCTTCTGAAAAAAATCTCTAGCCAAATGAGAAGATTAGGAAAGGTCAAATCCTGACAGGTTCTTTGAGAAAAATCTGCTAAAGGCACAGGAACAACCACATTTCTTCTCAAAGACAGCAGGAGCAGGCAGTCTCCAACAGGCTGTAAGCAACCTAAGTATTAAGAATGTTCAAAATAAAGCAATAGCAGGAAAAACTAAATGCATTTTCCTACATTGATGTTCACCAGAAAGGAGCTTGGAGGGCTCATGGAGACCCATGGGGGAAATCTCAACCTTAGTAACAGCTTCTGCTTATAAACGAACAAAAGGAATGATGAGTCACCAAGACCAGATATCTCCCAAGAGCTCCAACAGATGAAACTGCTGCTCTAATTCATGTGTAAAGCCTTGCCTGAACAGATCAGAACCAAAGCAAGGCTGTGATGCCAATTCTTAAGAAGGGCTCCAGACCGGGCCCAGGAAACTGTCGGTTGGTAAGTCTGCTGGCCAGGCCGAGCAAAACAACAGAAACTAGAATAGATAATATTAACCCGTGTGTCCATTAGTTTTTATGTTCGTGAAGAAAGAGCATAGCTTTTTTTAAGGAAGAGGATAACTTCCGTATCTATGCAAAGGTGCCAGTAAGCATCTCAACAATATAGGCAGATATTCCTCTGGTGCATGTTTGGAAACCCCTGTAAATTATTCAGCAAGGCTCCTCAAAGGCTCTTCAGATAACTAAGCTGGCATGAGATAAGAGGGATGGTCTTCCCATGTAAAACACAGGAATAAAAGGTAAGAATAATTAGTCGGTTCTCAACATAAAAAAAATTGCTATTGAGTTTACCTGCCCTGGCTTCCTCCCAGACTGTTATCCCCTTCACTGCCTGGGTGTTCTCAGCACTTGTTTCTCTCTCCAAAATACATTGGGAGTCATCAAGATAGAAGTATGTCACAGGAACTTATCAAACCAACACGGTACTATAATAATGCATTGCATCCCATGAACCCATGCGTCACAAAATGGTGACTCATACTTGTGCAACTTACAGGATGCAGAAAACGAAGCATGAAAAGATCTACAGTAGCATCTTGGGGATAAACCATCTCGCTGATCCAAGGTCAAACTCCCAGCTCTAGACCGTGAGCACCAAATGGAAGTGTTAAAGCAAAGCCTTTTGTGTAACTCTTACCAAAAAATATTCTGTCCACCCAGTCATGGTTAGGATGATACAAACCCAGTCTGCTGACTGCGTGCAACCTACTGCAGCAGATCATAAGGATGGTCTTGCTCAGTATATCTGCAATGCAGCAGAATGACTACATCCTTCAGCAGTAGCTGAGTATCATGATGTTTCTCTGTACTCTAGTCTTACACTTTTCAAAGCGATTTATAGCATCTGCTCACAACCAAACATATGCTGCTTTCTTTATAAGCTCCGATTTCTAGAAATAAGCAGCACTCTCGGGGAGAATCAGTATAGCCAGAATCATGGCCAGCCTGCTTACCAGGCAAGTCTCAGGATATTGTTTCCTGCATGTTTCCATAAATGCGATGAAAGAGGGTTCTCAGAGTGAAAGGAAAGCAGCCAGCTGCTGCAGGTCTGGAAGCTGGGTCTCTCCAGTACATTCATATTTGAGGAAATTAACGTTTTTATAATGCATGAGGTACAATGCTCGGTTTAGGTATTTTTGTAAGTCAATTACTTTGAAAAAAAAAAATCTACTTGCAGAAAAAAACATCATTTGAAGATACCAGGACACTACCCTGTCCAAGCAGATACTTTTGCCTGCTTCTGACTCTAAAAGTTGTGTTCGTTTGGGTTTTTTTTTTTTTTTAGGGGGAGTGTTTTTGTTTTGTTTTGGTATTTTATACTACGGGTGAGGTTGTGAAATCACAGTTCAGTTAATCACTGAAGGGCCAGGACAGCTCTCCAGGGTAGCAGCACAGCAGACTGACAGAACAAAAAGAGGCAAGTCTTAAAACACATCGCTCCTTTGTTCCCCGCAGTTCAGAGCCACTTCTTTCTCCGCCCTTAGCAGAATTCATCTGGGCAGGTATTTTATGTTAAGGCTCCAAGTGTATCATTCAGTATCTTTTTTTAACATTTTTTCCCATTTTTCGAACCCAAGCTCTTCCGCCTTCTGCTGCATGTGATGCTCCCTCTTTCTGCTGAAATTAATTACTTCTATCTACAATACACATGTGGAAATCTTTTAGAGAGCCACTGTACAGTTGCAGCAAAGCAAGGAAACTAATTATTTGAATGGGCTTCTTTTAATACAAAGCCCTTCTGTGTGGGCTGGGCTGAAAAACTAATGTGTTTTCTTCCTTTCTCACAAAAGTAAAATCCAGAGTCAGCTTCTATCAGTCACCACAGAACTGTAATTAAAGAATCCAAATCGTTGTGCCCACACTCAGGTTGTCTTCCCCTTTTGTTCTTGTGCATGAAAACCCCTAGAACAAGAGAGAGTTTCTACTGACTCTGCTCAGTACTCCATGTGAAAGTGAGAAGATGCCCCTAGTAACACAATTAAATGAAATAGCTCAAATATTCCAACTATGTAACAGGAACAACAGCAAAAACAAAACAAAAAAAAAAGATCAAAAAAGGCCTGAAGTTCTTCATTAAAATAGTGATTATCATTAGTTAAGCAGATCCAGTTTTCCAAGCAAGAAATGCTTCAGAGAAAAATTTACCATTTTTTTATGTCTCCAGTTCTGACAAAGAGGCACATTTAAAGTTTTGGCCTCTAAAGATGCAGAAGTTTTGTTAATTAACCTACTGTATTCACCTTCCCAAATCTGAAATTCCATTCCACCTCCATCCAAATTTTGAAAACAATTCCTTTGTGGTTAAAAGTTGAAAGAGCAACAGTGCACACTTACTGCCCAGATGGGAAGTCCTTCTCATTCACCACAGCACAGTTCGTTAATGACAGTTCATCAGTGGGACATCTTGCTGCTTGCATAGACTACAAGAGAGAAAGAGGGAGAGGAAAAAAAAAACTATCAAATAACATTTTATTTTTCTTTTACTAAGCGAAGCCTCAAAACTTCTGCAAATCCATAAAACACAAATAGGTCTCATGAGTATTAAGGTATTCTGAAAGCACAGTCCACTGCCATTGACAAGCTCCTCTCTCTCTTCATGGGTTTCTCCAAACGCTTCTGTTTGGTACAGATGTTTGTACCCAAAAGCTCTGCGTTTTGCGAGTCTAGTATACCTTATATTTTCTTCCATACCTAGGAAAGTTCCTAAAAATTACCTAGGAAAAAGCCTGCAAGGCAAATGCTGTTAACTTGCTAATGAACCCTGGTGTTCATGCAACTTCCCTGAACCCTTGAGGTAGCAAAGCATTCACTGGAAGGCATTTCTTGCCAAGTGACAAGACATTGGGATATTTTGAAAGCTGGTAAGGCAAAGCAGCCAGAGCCAGAGCAGTTCCACTACAACCCTGGGTAACCCCATCTCACATTGCTGTGCTCGGTTAGAGAGACTACATGGGGAAAAGAGGGTAGAATAAAGATGTTACCTTTCTTCTTCCCTCAGTTTACTCTGAAAACTGAAATCTGATCACATCCATTCTGGATATATGTACTTTGACCAATGCGATACAGGGCAGCACCAAAAGTCCGCAGGAAGGTTTAATTCTCAGCCAGTTGCTATCCAGCTCCACAAAATCTCTCTACAAAACTTCTCAAAAGAAACATCACAATGAAAGTAATATTTCCTACTCTAAAGGAAACATCACAGATCAGTAACAAACAGAAGAGAGTTAAGTTAAACAGTCAGTTCCAGCTTATCACTATTAAAAAAATTACTGCAGCAAATTTTGTGGGGGTGACCTCCCCCTTCCTTCTATTTCTAAAGCCAAAGGAGCAATCCCATTTCAAGAGTATCTGTTCAATTTTTTTCCCCTCCACTATTACTCACGAATCAGCAGCTAAAATAACCAAATACTACCACTCTCAGCCCAGGCTGCCCCATCCCATTACAAGGCAGCATACAGCATATAGGGGGAGCGCAGCAGAGGAGTACCGAAGAGAAACCTCAGCCCTTTCCTACATCCCTAGCCCCTTCTGCTTCTGCAGAATTATTCCACAAAACAGTGGTTAAAAGACAAAAATTGGGCTCAAAATGTCTCTAGAAGTGGAGAAAAGGATGGAAAAGGCAAGATATCTCTAACATTAGCTATAGACTGAAAAAAAAAAAAATTTGGAGAAAAGCTAAACTTGACCTCCCAGGATGGTTTTAGAATCAAAGCACAACTATTTTCCTTGTCAGATACAAATTTGCAGGCAGTGCAACATAAACTATGTGTCAGTGTCAACCTATTGCTAAAAGCATATCAGAACGGATTTTCTCTTAAGACACCCTTAAATCCCAGCAAAAAGAGAAGAACTGATCCTAACGTACACATCTAGATAACTTCCCATGAGTTAACATCCTGCTCAACCTTTCCCCCCTACACCTCCAGGCCATTTGAGAAAAGAATCAGAGAAAATTCATCTCCATAGGGACTGAAGCAAGTATGCCCTATAGCTCAAATCAACTTTTTATGTCGTAATGTAATTCTTCTAGAGTACTTGCTATTTAGAAAAGGACTAATTCACTATTTTTACTGAAAAATGCTCAATTGCCCTTGACTTATGTGACAACAGAAAAGGATTCCGTTTTCAACCTTGAAACACATTTATCTACCTGACTCTCAAGTGTAATAAGAGACTCAATTAAAAACGCTTATAATAAAAAAAAATATGGACATCAGTGGACTTCTGAAATACACAACCTGCCTGTTAAGGCTCACCATCTCTGGGCACTTCACACAAAAAAGTATTCACCATTTTATCATTTCTCCTTCCACTTGCAAGGGGACTATTTTGTAAAGGGCATGCCCTGATAAAACGCATTAGGTAGGATATTTCTGGAGAAAACTGAACACAGAGCTCCTGGATTAAGCCTTTTTGCAGCACTAGTCCTCAACTGCATTTTTAATCCTTACTGACAAACTGCTTCCTACATGTTAACAGCAAGCACCCGGCAAAGTTGCCATTCTTCTGCGTTATTCCTGTCCGCATTTGGGAAAGTGCAAGCTTTGCTTTAAGGAAATGCATAAATATAAAGAAACACATTTCAAATCCAGCACCAAGTGCTCTTTTTGCAAGCTCCACAATATGATAAGATTCGTGGCAAAACATCCTTGGGTATCTGACTCGTGAAATAACGTAGCTGCTTCTGCAGCAGTATCAGCACTGACTGTGCTAGCCACCTCATAGCCCAGTGCATTCTCCTTCTGGGGTGTTTGGCAGAAGCCCATTTCTTCCTTGGCAATGACCAACATTTCAGACCGCATCTATAATCTACGCTCTGCTCCCAGCTCTCCAGTATATGCCCTCCTCAAGCTCCAAGACCATTTTGCAGAACTTCGATACATTATCAATATACAGAAGTGTTTTTAACATAATACAGCTCATGCAAGAAAAGGGTGTCACTCAATAGACACAGGTTTTCGTGAGTCTACAAGGAACAATTTGAGGAAATCTCATCATTTAAGAGATGACGATTAAACTGGAAAGCACCCAGACAAGAAGGAGGAACACACTGTTCTAGTGAATTGCAGGGGCTTCCTCTTACCCCCGTGCTCCTCACCCCCGTGCTCACATCCCCAGCACTACTGCTCACAGGGATCCTTGTCTTGTCTGTCAAGCAGCCCAGCTGCCGCAGCAAGGATGTGGGCATTGGCTGCTCCTGAATATGTTTTTCTGGCATAAATGCAGCAGTCCAAAGCTGCAACACGAGCCACCGGAGCCTGGAGGGCTGTCATATGCCAGTGGTAGTGTCAAGGAACACTTAAAGCTCTTGCATTTTGGGTTCCAGCTTCCCAGGACACCAGCACAAGGACTCCCGGAACCCTGCACCCTCTCCCCTTCTCCACCATCCAACACTCTTATTGCCTGCACTTGCACACCACACGTCAGGGAACAGAGGGAGCAAAAGCCTTAAGAGTATTTCTAAGAAATCTTCAAGTAAATTTACACAAGCTAATTTTAAGCTAACTAGTAGGTTACTGCTAGCAACTAGGCAAGGGAACATAAAGCTCAGCTCTAGCAAACCACTAGAGCAGATCCCGCAGCTGACAGTGAACACCATCTGCTGCAGTTACACTGCTGTCAATAGTAGTTTGAAGGTGACCCATATACATCTTTACAGGTTGCAGTTATGCCCGTGTCCACAACATAGATATATTAGGCTTAAAGTAGCAAAAGAAGTCTTCCCTGCCTCCAGTTGTCGTTCTGGTTTATGCAAGGAGGAGACTCCAAGGACAGTGAAGTTCTAGGGGGGTGACTCCGCATCTGAGACAGTGCCTTCGTTCTAAAGCATCCTCAGCTAGAGGCATCCATCATCCATCTACGGTCATGCAGCACCCGCTATTAAATCCATATCTACGCAGAGGTCTACTCCAATATTCCTTCTGTTTACCAAGAGAAAAACGAGACCACGTGACACACTGATAAATCTCGTGCTGAAAGACAAATGTGAAGGACCTCACCTTTGGATTCATGACAAAGCAGTAATGTTGCCTCTACTCTTCTGCTACTGAGCTGATGCTGACCATGAAAATCCAACGCCAGAAGGCTCAGTGATGCTGACATTTTTACTTTTACAAAGTAAAAGTTGCCCCAAAAAATAAATAATAGAAACAACCACCATAATGTCTAATCTTTCAGAGATTTTTTTTTTTTTCTAAGTTGCATGGATTCCAGTTTTCTTCCATAAAAAAATGAAACTGAGTTGTTCTTGCATTTTAGGAGAGCTCAGCCCAGAAAGCAATGCTAAGTTATTTGGGTATTTTCATACACATATAAAACACATCTTTTCTCCTTCTGAATTTCAAGACAAGCATCTGAAGCAAAAGCAAAGCACTGCTGGTTTAAAATACGACTGGGGAAGAGAATGAATAATAAAGTCTCTGGAATATTACACATAGTACACTATATTACATTGTTGTGTGGGCGAGCACATAGTTCAAAAACATGCTTAATATTTGTGAATTGTTAAGGCTGATGATGGAGGGAGCTAAAGAAAAACATGTTTCCCATTACTCAGACCCCACAGGAGATAAGTTGGTGGTACATAATAGAAGTGCAGTACTACCTGTCAGTTGTTACTGAATAGAAGAGCTAAAATATTAAATGCTAAGGCAGATATGCTCTTCATTTGAAACAGCTTAACTCATTTAATTTCTTAATCCTACCCAAAAGATTATGAAACAGCTTCTAAAGTTGAGGCAGGTTTTGTTCTGTGCACTGTTTCTCCAGTGTTTGTATAAGCCAAATATTGTGTTACATGTTTAAAATTTTCTTTTGTGTAAAACATATAGACATAGATATACATGCATACATGTATATGCATATGTACACATATATCATTTCTGTCATGCCGATGTTGGCAGACAAGCATTAGGAAACATGATGACTGCGGATACTAGAAATTTAAGTTTCTTCTGTAGAGCCCACTGTCAGCTGCGTAGAAATGGGGATCCCCACTCCAAAAAGCATGTAAATTCTACTATAACAGCTATTAGGCACCGAAGTACCTTTAAGCCCAGAGCTTTATCACCTAGAGAAGAGGGCAACAAAGAACCTGTGCAGGAATTATTCTCAGGAAGAAAGTTTAGTCCCTATTTACTAGGGACCGAGCAGATGTGTGCCTGCCTGGTGGCTGTGTGGTAGCATGGCTGACTCAAAGGTGTTCGAAGTCAAACACTCATTCACCACGAAAAGTCTGCAAACAAAATTAGTTTGAATACTGAAAGGAAGAATTATGATATTAAAGGAGCTCTGAAGATAAACAGGGAACTGAGATGATGATATGTAGATCCTACATTATACAAGACTATGCTCCTGATGGAAAGCAGACACGCACGAAGCACTGCCCGATATAAAAATCCAACGGACCAAGTGACAA